AAATATTTATCTGCCTGTCAGTGTGCTAGATATGACAAGAAATAGGACTTGATCTATTTTATATACAAAGAAAAATAGGACTTGGTCTCTGCCCCATGAAAATACATAGACCTGGGCAGTGCCTGTGGCTCAATGGGTAGGACTCCAGCCCCCCATACCGAGGGTGGCGGGTTCGAACCCAGCCCTCACCAAACTGCAAAAAAAAATAGCCAGGTGTTGTGGTAGGCAACTGAAGTCCCAGCTACTCAGGAGGCTGAGGCAAAAGAACCGCCTAAGCCCAGGAGTTGGAGATTGCTGTGAGCTGTGATGCCACAGCACTCTCTACCAAGGGTGATAAAGTGAGACTTTGTCTCTTAAAAAAAAGAAAATAGACATGAACAAGTGTCTTCATAGGGGAAAAATGTTCTCAGATAGAAAGAGGAGAGGGTGAGAGGAGGGAGGAAAAGACCAGGAGGTGTCCCAACTGTGATGTCTGCTATCAGCAGGTGGAGAGGAGAGGGTAGGAGAGGACAGGGAGGAGAGTGAAGGACCCTGTTTCTGAAGAATGGAATGCACAAAACAGAGAGGAAAGAGAGGAACCTGGGAAACGGGGCTGAGGTCACATTATCAATGGCTTTGTATATTCCACTGGGGAGCTGAGGCTTTTTCAGGCCACAAAAGAGAATAAAGGTTTTCTTACTGAGAAAATGAGTAGGTCATATTTGGTCTTAGGGATTAAGCAGTGCATGGTGAGTGTGTGAGAAGACCAGGATGAGAAGGTGACTTCCCAGAGCTGGTGACACAGGACAAGGGCTGGAAGACGGCAATGCTGGTGGGGACAGCAGAGGGTCTGGATGTGAGAGACACTTCTAAGGCAGAATGGGCAGAGCTTCTTGTGTCTGTGGTTGAAATGTGGGGATAAGTGGAGGGTGGCTCTCAGTTTTCTAACTTGGAAGATGGGATTGGTGGGAGAGAGGGAGTAAAGGAGTCAGAGTGATTCGGGATATGTTAAATTTTCAGCGTCTCATTAGGAAATATGGATTCTCTTAGAGGAGAAGCCAAGGCCTGGGATTTCAATCCAATGGAAGATACAAGTTCAGCTGTGGAATCATGGAGAGCACTGATATTTAAAGAAAAGGCAGGAAGAGCGTTAAGAAGATTGAGAAAGGATAGTCAGAAACATGACAAGAGCAAGAAGGAAATGGTGTCCTCAAGGCCCCAGGAGGTGGGGAAAGCGTCAGAGGCTCAGATTCGGAGTTTACACGTCCTTTTCTAAGGAAGTTGGTCTAAGGACTGGAAGGGGCAGAAGTTGTGGTGGCCACCCAGACATGTCCTCACACTAATCCCTAGAATCAGTGTCCATGTTATCTTACATAGCAAAAGGAATTCAATGGATGGAATTAAGGTTAAGGACCTTAAAACAGAGAAATTATTCTGGATTATCTGGGTGAGCCCTTAAAGGGGGCATTTAAGAGGCAGAAGAGGGAACCAGAGAGACTGATGATAGAAGAGGCAAGAGAAATTTGAAGGATGGCAGGGAATTGACCCACCACTGCTGGCTTTACCAATGGAGGAAGGTGGTCCAGAGCCAAAGAATGCAGGTGGCTTCTAAGAAGTGGAAACAGCCATCCAGAAGATGAGACCCCAGTCCTAAACTACAAGGACTGAATTCTGTCAACAATCTGGAGAAGCAAGGAAACAGATCCTCTCCTACATCCTCCAGGAAGGAACACAGCCCTCCTGACACCTTGGTATCAGCCCAGTGAGTTCCAGGTCAGACTTCTGATCTAAAGAACTATAAAATAATTTTGTGTTGTTTTAAGCTACTAAGTTTCTGGTAACTTCATATAGTAGCAATAGAAAATTAATACAGGGACTAAGGTAGGCCAGGTTCCTTTCCTGGATCTTCTTCCTTGGCCTTTGAATCTATGGTTGGGACTCCTCTCCCTCACCTCCCTATTTTCTGTCCAAGCTAGACCTGGGATCCAAATTTCAGGAGGAAAGGAAAAAATTAAATAAAAGATAGCAATATGTTGGGCTGTGAGCCCATCTTACCTCCAAGCTTTGGTTGACCTACAGAGTTAGAAAAAAAATCCAATTTCTCATTTCCTTCCTTTTCTTTCTTCCTTCTCTTCTCCCTCCCTCCCTTCCTCCATCCCCTCCTTTTCTTTGTTTTTCTAAGTAGTTGCTCTGACATCAGGGTTGGCTGGCTAGAGCTGACTGTCACTGACCCCTTAGAGACAGATCCCTGCTGTCTTTCATGGGCTGCTTTACTCATTTATATAATCTGCCTGTGTTCTATAGGTGACTGACCTTGACACTAGTCTGAAGCTGGCATGGGAACATGTTAGATCTGGGATCTCTGCAGGGAGAAACCAAAAAATACAATCAACATGACTCAATACAAGATCTGAATTTTTTCTAATTCAGGGCATTCCTGGTGTCATGAAGCCTTTTGAATAACATGCTTGTGTGTGCTCGCACACCACCACATAAGTATACCCATGGGTGAATGTGGAGAGTGTGATAATTTTGAAATGGAAAGATGGGGCAAAGATCTCAGTGGTAAATGAATGAGTTCAACTCTTTCTGTTCCTTATGTGGGGCCAATCTACTGCCAGCACTACAGCTTGTGACCCCGAGTCAGTGTTTTACTGCACCCTCACAGATCACCTTACTTCTGGCCTAAGAAGTAACATCTTCTCTGGTTCCATGCATGGGGCTCTTGACTTACTTCCTTTCTCATCAAGTTCTTTCCTAGTACCTCAATTCCAGTAACTGGGCTCTTGTCCATTATTTTCCAGGAATCTTGCCTTAATTCTGTCCCTGATTTTTAGGGACTGATTCTGTTTCACAGCCACTCTTGCATCTATTAATTGAAGTCCTATTCTGAAGCGCTAGCCCTGCTGGGGGAGGGCCTTCCTTATACTGAACCCTTGCCTTTCTGGACCTTCTCCCAGGAGCCCAAGAGCCTCTCCACAGCCTGCCTGCCTGCCTTCCTTTCAAGTCCTGTCTACCTGCAGTTCTCCTGGATCTTCTGCACTCATAGCCCCACCAGATAATCTCTCAGTACCAGCTGGTCATGAACCCTGTTCTGACATTACAACCTTTTTCATCCCTGTGAAAATTCTACGAAATAAAGGCTATCAGCATAACAGGAAACTCTGGCTGGGAGTTTGAAAAGATTCTTCCATAAGTTTTCTGATCCTTCCTTATTCTATAACCCAGAAAAATGATGACCGACATCTCCTCAATTATCTCAAGTGGGGTACTCACTGAGGAAATTCTGTCATTTTACTCCTGATTTTTTCAAAGAACAGAAAATGGGCTTATGTTAGTTAAAACTATGACAATAGTTTGGGCCTTCGGGTCAGATAAAGAATCTCTTAATCTACTAGTTGGCAAATGAACAAAACTCTAGAGAAGAACCATTCCTTCTGGGCATAAAAAGTTTACATAGGTGGTTACCATAGAACAAAAACAGGACAAAGAGTTCTAGCCCAGACTCTGTCATTTACTGCCTACAAATCTTTGAAAAGTCCTGTATCTTTTCTGTGTGTTCATTGGCTTAAAAATAAATGATTTCTGACCTGGATGCATACAGGATTGTAGTGAGGATATACTGAAACAACAGATATGTCCAAATGCGAGAACCTAGCATGAAAAGACTCCTTTGTCACTGCTGCTAATAATAGCACCTGGCTCCCTCCAGGGTTCAAAGACCTCTACATCTATCTTTTATGGGCGTCTTCAGCAACTTGGGCTAGGATTTGCACAAAGCAGCCACAGAGTGAGACCTGGAGCCCAGATCTCCTGAAGCAAACCCCTGTGGAAAGACCAACTGTGATAGAATGCCCAAGTTCAAGGAGGGCAGAAGTGCTTCCTTTCATCCTCTGCCCACGTCTTACCCATTGCAGTCTGGTCTTCCCTTATCTGGGCTGTCACCCCACGCCCCTTTTTGATCTTTCCAGGGGCAGATGGTCCCGGGACATTTCATTTCTGTCAAGGTTAAGAGGCCTCTGAAAGATGATTTGCCTCTGGTGGGGTCCTGACTTGATTACCTCTTCTTTTTGTTGCCGTGAACTTTATGTCTGAAGGGAGAAAGAATAGCCAGTTATCACAGTGACCAGGAGGTCTCTAAGGCTGCACTCTCTGCTGGTTTGCTGCTGTCATTTCCGTTAGGGATAACAACAGCCCAAACTGAAAGTTTTTGCCTTGAGGATACGGCTTCTCACGTTCTTAGTCTCACCTTCTTACCCAAGAGCTTGTAACCTCTGAAGCCGGGCATTGCTCTCCAGTGTGAAGAGCTTCCAAAAACCTGGTTTGTCTTCTAGGTACCAGCCCTGGCAAATGATACCTGGTCTGCTCCAAATCTTTGTTGGAAGGACAGGTCTGCCAGCAGGTCTGAGAAGGTGGATGGTTGATGAAGAAACGAGGCCTACCATTCTCAGAGGCTGCTGTCCAACCTTGGCCTTCAAACAAGTCTTTGGCACTCCTCAGCTGTGGCTTCCGTGACCCCTGGAGATTCTCCTAGAGCTCTAACTTAGGATCAGTCTCACTTCAATGTTTGTGCAGAAATAAGTTCAGCTGAATGAGATTTGACAGTCTCAAATCCCTTCTGTTTTTATTGTCACTATCCTGCTAAACAGAAGAACAGAACCTCTTTCTTTCTCACCTTGCATGTCTTACCCTGAAGTGTTGGAATATTTGGGAAATTGTTAATAAAAAATCATCTGGGGTACTCTTCTACCAGCAATAGTGTCCTACTGGAAGGTGGCCAGGGGCTCCAGCTTCCTAAAAGTGCCTGTCCTAGTTGGAGGTGAGCAAAGATTTTTGCAGAGAAACCCCTCCCTATTTTCCCCAACTGCAGGTCCCTCTAGTGGCAGCAACCTCTATTTCTTGGTTCTACATGCCGAGGAGAGTCAGGATGTGTAGCTAGGTCCTGGGAAGTTTATCCCATCTCCCATGGTGCGCTTGAACATAGCAGCTTTGAATTGAAGACGAGGATTTCTGGCTCATGCCTACCCCGGGACAGGACACATCTGCACGGTGGGTAATGTGAGTCCTGAGTGGGTAAGGTTGCTTGATGAAGCTAAAGACAAATACAGAGAAAAACTGCATCAGAACTCATGACATTTAGAGTTACTGGAGGACCCTTTGCCTAAGAAAGATCATCCCAGGTGGTCTTCCAAGGTCACCTCAAGAAAGGGATTAGGAAAGGGGAGGCAAGCAGCAATGCTTCAGGGATGTTTGGGAGACCCGAGTTGTACGTCGCAGTTATTTTTTTGTCCCAGGACACATATCACCTAGATCCAAAGGCCAAAATGCCAACCACATGGCTCAAAGGAAGTAAAATAAAGAGATTAGGCCAGAAGAACACTAGAATCACAGTCTTTAGGGCTGTTTCGACCCTATGGATCATGGGCAATGTTCCATAGTGACCTTCTCCATTAACAAGGAAACATATATAAAAGGATAGGTCAGTTAAGCTGGTGTTTCGTGCCTATAAGAAGCGGAAAAGCCCAACATCTTCCTCAAGTAAAAGTTGACAATTGGAGTAGAAAGGAAGGGTTTATTGGGAGAGACTATGTGGACAGAAAGTCAGGATTAGTACTAGGGAGTTGACTTTTTTTTTTTGAGACAGAGTCTCTGTATGTCATCCTGGGTAGAGTGCCAAGCATAATAGCTCACAGCAACTTCTATCTCTTGAGCTTAAGTGATTCTGTTGCTTCAGCCTCCAAGTAGCTGGGACTACAAGCACCTGCCATGATGCCTGGCTATTTTTTTGTTGTTGTTGTTGTTGTTGTTGTTATTGTAGTTGTCATTGTTGTTTGGCAGACCCTGGCCAGGTTCGAACCCACCAGCCCCGGTGTGTGTGGCCGGCACCCTAACTGATGAGCTACAGGCACTGAGCCAGAGTTGACTTTTTAATGCTGAAAATTGGAAAGAAAAAGAATATGGGCTCAATACGACAGTGTAGAACCACAAGGTTTGTTACAGGGATGAGATCAGTGGCAGGAGCCTCCAGGAAGCAGGAGGTATGGGGTGATACTGCTCAAGCCAGCAGGTAGTCTCCTTGTGAGAGGGGAAGTAAAAACTGAGACATTATGATGGTCTCTTAATAAAAATCATATCATGCCTGGAAAAGGACAGAGGAGTCAGCAGATATGAAGCTTAAGGGGGCTGTAAAAGAATCAAGAAGCTTCCAGGGGCTGTAAAAGAATCAAGAAAATATAATTATTCCAATGGAAGCTGTACACAGAGGTCTGGAAAAAGGTCAGGAGACCCACTTTTCACCCTATCTCTGCCATCACAAGCTATGTGAACTTGAGCAAGTCACTTCACATTTGGGGTGTCATAGTCTCCTCATAGTCAATAAGGAGATTAGCCAAGCTGGCCTTTGAGTAGTGGACTTTTTGCTCTCAGTGTGGATCTAACTCCAACTCACAATTTTGGACTGAATTTATTGTTACTTCTCGATGTTGAGGCCGCAACCATTCAATGCCTCTTAGCAAGGTGAACCTTAAGATGGCTTGGTCTTCTTTTCCTGAGGAAAGAAGGACAACATTAAAAATCTTTGCAGCTACTCCTAATGAAAACTTTCTAAGTGAGCCAGAAAGTTCTTGTGTAACATGCCTTAGATTCTAGGATGTTAGTAATAGAACAATACCTAAATGCAAACCTTTGTATCTGAGATACCATGGTTTGAATGTGCCCTATACTTATGTTGAAATTTTACTGCCAAAGAGATGCTATTAAGAGGTAGAACTATTAAGAGATGAGGAAGTTGTGAGGGTTCTCATAAATGCTCTCATAAATGGATTAATATTATTATGATAGAAGTGGCTTCATTATTGTGAGAGTGGATTGTTATGAAAGCAAGTTTGGCCCTTTCTTGCTGTCCCACTGGCACTCTCTTGCCCTTCTGCCTACCACCAGGCATGGTGCAGCATGAGGGCCCTCTCTAGATGTTGTTGCCATGCTTTTGGACTTCCCAGTCTCTAGAACCATTAGCCAAATAAATTTCTTTTCTAATAAACCACCCAATATTTGTCATAACTCAAAATAGATTGAGGGGTCTGAAGCTGAGAAAAGCTCTTCCCAGTCTCTAGAACCATTAGCCAAATAAATTTCTTTTTTAATAAACCACCCAATATCTGTCATAACTCAAAATAGATTGAGGGGTCTGAAGCTGAGAGAAGGAAGCAACATGCTTGAGGTCTCTCAGCTCATACTTGATGACTCTACAGACCTAGAATACAGATCCCTTAATTTATGGTATCTTGTTACTCTCTTTCTCCTCTGACATCAGGGGAAAAAAGGTGGATTTCTTTCCCTGGAGCTCAGCTATAAGAACTAATCAAAAAGCTGGGTCCCCTTTGGTTACCCCTAAGGACCATTTTCTCATTCCTCTGAATGAGTATTGTTTACTTGCTCTGCCTGTCTGCTTTCCTCTCCTTTTTCTCTCATCCCTTCCTCTTTCTCTATCCCTACTCTCTTCCTAATTAAGCCTTGGAGACATTTGTTCCCCATTCAGATGTATTTAGGTCTTAAGGATTCTTGTTTGCATTCCCAAAAGAGGGTGAGATACTTGTTTGTGAAAACTGGCTTGGGGACAGTGATTGGTATCTGGGAAAACCCAGAAGAATCAGGCAAGTTTGAATGAATCAAAAGAATGTTCATCACCATCATGGGGCAGTTACTTGCCCTTTTTAACACTGTCCTATCTCCATATTTTTTTCTGGTGCTTATTTTGTCCCCAGGTGCTCAGTCCTGTTTTCCAGAACTTCTCACTCAGAGACACCTAGCCTTGTCCTCACCAGGCACTGCTCAGTCCATGCTTCTCCCTCTTGTTAAAATTCTCTCTTGCTCAAGTACTAATGATAGCTATCAGGAAAGGGACTGAGCTTAATAGCTTTGTGCTAAGAAAACATAATATATAGTCATGCATCACTTAATCACGGGCTTATATTGTGAGAAATTAACTGTCACGCAGTTTTGTCATAGAGTGTTCTTGCATAAACTTAGATGATATAGCCTGTTGCACACCTAGGCTATATGATATAGCCTATTATTCCTACACTACAAACCAGCACAGCATGTTACTATACTGAATACTGTATACAACATGGTATTTGTGTATCTGAACATATTAAACATAGAAAAGAGGTAATAAGAATATAACATTATAATCTCATGGGACCACCATCATATTTGTGGTTTGTCATTGACCAAAATATCATTATGTGCTATGTGATCATGTGTTTTTATGTGTATGTGTACATAATATGTACATATATATAAATGTGTATATATATGCATGCATTTAATTTTTTATGGATATATTACTTATGTAATATATACATAGAATATAAATAATAAACATATATAAATTCCTCATAATTACACCATCCAGAGACACTCTATTAACATTTTAATCTTTATTTATTTATTTATTTATTTTTGAGACGGAGCTTCAAGCTATCCCCCTGGGTAGAGTGCCATGGCATCACGCTCACAGCAACCTCCAACTCCTGGTCTCCTGCCTCAGCCTCCCAAGTAGCTGGGACTACAGGCACCTGCCACAATGCCTGGCCATTTTTGGTTGCAGCCATCATTGTTGTTTGGCAGGCCTGGGCTGGGGATTCGAACCCGCCACCTTAGGTGTATGCGGCTGGCGCCTTAGCCGCTTGAGCCACAGGTGCCAAGCCTTAATCTTTATTCTAAGTTTTTTCTATGCTTTCATAACAATTATACATGTGTAGAAGTATATATTTATCACATTAAAACTGTACTTTATATCCAATTTTTTATGTTTATGTTTTCACTTAACACTATAAAATATATGATTTTCAAATGGTGGGGTTTAATGGAGTCAGTTGGAGCAGGAAGCCTCTTAAGCAGCACTGAAGTGGGTCTGCACCTTCAGGTACCCACCATGTGGACTACAGCAGGACAGAGGCATCCTGGAAGCTGCAGCCAGGAGCAGCACTTGGGTGGGGTGCCCTCTTACTAGCACTGCTTGCCACAGTGCACCTGAGTGCACCTGTTTCCTGAGGGCCAAGGTAGGGAAATGTCTGTTCATTGCACCAACAAACACCCCTGAGAAGACTCAAAGTTGGCCCTTTAGGCCCTCATTTTCTCTTCACAAGCCTTGATTGCTAGAGAGTAGAGCATGGGTCCTGGTGGAGCTTACCTCCAGTTGAAGGAGGGTACTTGTATGTAGTTTTGGGAGGACCTTTTCTTTCCTTGACCTTCTTCCCCAGGTACTGAAAGTAAGAGGTAATCACCTTCCAGGCACAATACCTATGAGAAGAATGCTTCTGGTCATGGGCAGGAAACCACAGGTGGAGGGGTTTGGAACAATGAACATAGGGGAAACAAGGTTGGGGCCACTCCTCACAGACGGTGTGGGTGTTCAACAGAGAAGAGGATAGCATTCTGACCTTGGAGTGCTGCCTGTAGAAGGCCCTTATTCTGAAGCCTCCTCTTTGTTCAGACCTGACTCCAGCAAGGGACCTATGTGGGCAGTATGTTGGAATGCCCTCTCGAACCACGGCATGGAGTCTGTAAAGAATCTGCTATACCTAGGCCTGGGGTAGGGTTAACTCCTGGGGTCTGCTTGAGTATCAGACTATGAGCCCCCATCTAACCCCCTCCAGGTCTAGCCGGAGCATCTGATTGGCCTCTCTCTGGTCCTGATTCCTGCTTTTCATGCTGCCCCTTATTGAGAGCCTTGATCCCCTCACCTAATTCCCAACAGGATTTTCTCTGGAACAGACCCTGGTTTCTTAGGTAAGCTCATACTTAGATGTCCTGAGACTGTGCTCCCTAACCCACACAATACTCACATCTCTTCCTCCGTAGCCCTCTAACCCCTTGCTATCTCTATTTTCAGTAAACCCTTGCCTCAGACCCCTTAGAGATCAGAGATCAGTCTATTTTATCTGGTTGGCTTCTCCCATTACACTCACTGAACTGGGTCTTCCTGTCTTCATGGACCTCCCAATATGCCCAGATAGTAGTGAGAGGCCAAGTGACCTGGTTTCTAATTCTGGTTCTACCATCTACCAAGTGATCCCAAGCAAGTCCCTTAACTACTTTGAACCTCAGTTTCTTCATCTGTAAAATAGAGATGGTACTTTGCCCCACCTACCTCAGAGGGTTACAGAAATGTTCATTTGAGATAACGTGTGTATGTACAAACATACATATGATCTGTGAAATATAAATCTCTTTATAAGTGTGTAGGAAAGCAAGTAAACAAACAACTGCATGAGGATCAGGGATCCAAACTTTCCCAAAGCACCTAATCTTTTGAAACCCACATAGTGACAGCTGAGTATTAACTCAAACCAGAAGAAGCATGTATGTCAGGATCTGCTTCTGACACCACTTGTCAGGGCCTGGGACTGGCCAGGTCTTGGGTCCAGCTTAGGTAGGTTCTGGATGCGGACCACTAAGCTACCTTGCTCAGGAACAGTTTCTCTTAGGTGCTTGAGGGCTATCTACTTTACCTGGAGAGACAGAGAGAAAGAGAGAAAGAGAGAGTGTAAAGCAGTCTTCTTAGAACAGATAGGTCTTAGTCTTTAGCAGAGCTTGGTAATCTTCAGCAGAGAGATGCCGTGCTGGCGTTCTGCAGGCAGGAGAGGAGACAGAGTCAGAGTAAGCAAGTTCATGATAGAAAGTGCACACTTTTTGACTGCCTTCTCCTCCAGCCTAATATAAGGCTGAGCTCATACCTCTCACCACCACAGGTGTAGAGACTGCCAATTCACCAATGCTCTCATCTCGCGAGCTCTCTCATGCTAGTTAGAACTAAATCTCTCTCCATGCCCTTTTCACCAAGGTGTTCCATTACAGGTATTTCTTATTACCCTCACTCCTCCTAGCCATAGGCTATACAGGCTGCTACATATGTATTTCTCCAAAGTCTGATTACCCCTAAATAGAAATTCTTAAAATGAATTAGTCCAGGGTAGCAGAATTAAAATCAAGTGCTAGACAACAAATCGTGTTCTAAGGGCTAAACTGCTTATCACGAACATAGATTTTTGAATTTATTTCAATTCTGTATTAAGTAATTATTTACCTTAGGGATTTTAAAATAAAGATTAGTAGTTGGTAAGCAACCTTTATACACTTCCATTTTAATAAACTAACATCTTTTTCTGTGGGAGAAGGGAACCCCTGAGAGCTGGAATCATAATAATCTAAGCATCCTGATAAGCTTGTCTGAGAAAATGTCAGTGTCCTCTGGCCACTGTTACCCAGGGAGGCCTTGCCATTCTCTCTGTGGAAGATGTGAGCTGGAGCTATGGTAGGAATGAATAGATCAGCTGGGAGAAAAGCCAGCTCTCAGCCCAAACCTTGGCAAGACTGGTTAGGAAGCAGTGGCCACAGGTTGCATTTGGTCTGCAGATATTTTGCCTGTTTCATTTTTGCTTTCTGGCCTTTGCAGGCTCCTTATCATGTTTGCAGTCTTGAGTTAGTTGCCACATTTGCCACTTTAACCTTGAGAGAGCTGACATAGGATTTTGAATTTTTAGCTCCTCTTGAAAATTGGAATATCTAAGGACAGGGCCCCTGAGGAGTAATTATGGGAATCTGGGAATAACAAAGCAAAACACTTTGGCCTTCTTCCATAATCACAGCCTTTGTGTTAACCTTGACTGCATGTCTTCCAAAATGGCTGTGTACACCCTTGCCCTTAGGGGAGAAACCTAGGCCTGAGAAAACCTCACATCCTTGTTCCAAGCAAGCACAAGAGCACAGGCGGGAAAGCAGGCATTCTGGTTCCCAGACTTAGGCCGCCATCCATTTTCTGATCCAGGGTTTAGAGCTCTGTGTGAGGGATCCAGAGTAGTGGGTAGGATATGAAAAATATCACCTTAGTTTCAAAACTGGAAACTATGAAACAAAGGGTTAGAGGAAGATAGAAACTCTCTAGAAAGCTAACTGCATTTTTCTGACATGGCATTCATTGAGTAAGGAGAGGCGGTTACCTTTTCCAGAAGTACATAACGACAGGGAAGAGACTCATGATAGCCCCATGGAAGATACTCCGGTCTAGATGGCCCTCTGTGATGGCAGTAATTATGGAATCCTTCTGCGACTCAGGGATATTCACCTGCCCACAGAGTGGAAACCTGTCACTGAAAGAGGCTCCAGGCAAGGCAGAATATCTCTTTTGGCCCCCAGGACCCTTAAGACCACCCCCTCTCCAGAAGGCAGTTTTCGTGGGGTTGCTGGGTAAAGGACATCCAGTTGGTCCAGGACTTAGGAGTCATCTGACAATTAACTTTCAAGGACCCTTTGGAGGAAATGTTTTTTGGCTAAAGGACAGAGTGGAGTGGAAGTCCCCCTTACCCTCAGCTTTGGAGGGATGTCAGAATGCAGGAAGAGCTTTAAGATAATGTTAATTTTGGATCGCATTAGAAGCACATCATTCTCACTGTACGTTCGGTTGACCAACAGCATTTGAGCTGAACTCACCAAATCGTTAAATCTAAAAAAGAGATGCCAAGCGGGAAATTAGCAAGGAGAAAATAAAAGCAGTGACTAGATAGGGCACCTGGCCCGGGCTTGCTTCTGGCCTATAAAAGTCAGGGCTAGTTCTAGGCCAGATTGTGACTTCATCCATTCAATTATAATTTATCCCCTGGCAAATACTGAGCACCTACCCCATGTCAGACAACATGTTAAGTGTTCCTTCAAGCATATTTCTTCACCACAAATGCCCTCTTTCAGCCTATCCTCCTTCCTTTACCTACTCTGGTCCTGTAGCATTTTTACCTCTGCTGACTTCAAGACCTCGGGGAGTGGGGGGTGGGGAGGGAAGACCTCAGGCCTATCTTGCTCTTTCCTCTTCTGTGCTGTGAGGTAAACCCGGACATGCAGGTCGGTCCCACTTCTGTAGAGCACTTTAGGCAATGCGAGGAGGTTTGGACTTTCCCCCAGTGGTCATGGGAAGCTGTTGGAACACTTTAGGCAGGAGAGCGATATGGTCTGGTTTACATTTTCAACAGGTTACCCTGGTTGCTGTGCAAAGAATAGTGGGTAGAGGGCACAGGAGGAAGCAGAGGGGAGGTGATGGGAATGGGAGCAGCAACAGGCGAGGCTGTCCACTCTGACTGCGCTCTCCCTCTGACCCCTCCTGACATATTTTATTATCTGACCAACCCCTACTTACTCTCCAAACGTCAACTTAGGTGACCTGTCTCCCAAGAAACCATATCTGTGAGGACTTACAATCATCCACGTGCACTTCCTGTGCCTGACTCTCCCATCAGACTTGTCCTCCTGAAACACTCCCCAAGTTTTATCTGTATCTGCCTTCTCCATTAGTTTGTGGGAGATAAGCACAGAAAGACAAATACTATGTATCACATGTTCTCACTCAGGTGTGGGAGCTAGAAAAGTGGATCTCACGAAGATGGAGAGTAGACTGGTGGTAACCAGAGGCCAAGAGGAGTAGAGGGGAGCAGGGGATGAAGACAGTTTGATAAATGGGTAAAAACACACAGAGAAAAGAAAAAAGACCTAATGCTCAATATAAATCAATAAGGTGACTACAGTTAACAATATCTACTGCACATTTCTAAATAGCTAGAAGAGAATAATTTGAATGTTTTTAGCACAAAAAAATGTAGGCAAAGGACATCCCATTACCCTGATTTTATATTTGCACATTATATGAATGCATCAAAATATCACATGTGCCATAAAAATACGTCTTTTAAGTATCAATCTAAAATATTAATAGATAGCATTTGGGGTATAGTTTATATAGGAAGAATATATGGACCCTCCATAGTGGATTGACTTTGGCTTTGCATCAAACGATTGGCAAGCGAATGAGTATAAATGAATGTCTTAACGGAAAAATATCTGCTTACTGGCTCGGCGCCTGTAGTACAGTGCTTACAGCGCCAGCCACATGCACCAAGGCTGGCGAGTTCGAGCCCGGCCCAGGCCAGCTAAACAACAACGACAACTGCAACAGGAAAATAGCCAGGCGTTGTGGTAGGCACCTATAGTCCCAGCTACTTGCGAGGCTGAGGCAAGAGAATCACTTAAGCCCAAGAGCTGGAGGTTGCTGTGAGCTGTGATGCCACAGCACTCTACTAAGGCAACATAGTGAGACTGTCTCAAAAAAGAAATAATAATAATGATAAAATAAAATATCTTCTTACTGTCACACACACAATTTTATAAGTATAATAATTCTTGGCTTTAACTTAAGAACTTTTGGTTCAACAGTGCTATATAAGAGGATTTCTTTCATATTTATAAATAATGGAGAAAAAAGTGTGCCTCTTCCCAGAAACAAGTCAGTGCATTTCAAGGTTGGAAACTCTGAAATACTGAAGAACTTTTAGGACACAATGAAAAGAATGGTGGAAACTGATAGAGTGGCAGCACTTGGTAGAATTTCCAGGAGACTCCTGCTTGACAGGGCTGAAATCACCTTGCCTCTCCCAGGACAAGCAGGCTCTGCTGGGCAGCACTAAGGGTGAAAAGCTACAGGACAAAGGAAAGGTGGGAAACTTACTTCTCCATTTCAGAAAAGAAATAGATGTCATTGATTGCAAAGTTAACAGTGATAAGCCTGTGGCCATATATACGACGCTTTACAAAGGTCATTTCTCCATTCTCTTGTTCTATATTCCGGACATTCGCGGGAAAAAGGGCTGAACGTCCTGACGTGTTGGTCGATACAGAGAAATCTGAGAGAGAAAAACATAGGAATTACAATCCGGTTTCAAGTCACACTTAAGCCTGTGGCCTTCAATCTGGGCATAACAAAAATGAAGAAATGAAATTACTGGGTGAAATAGTCACTCCTTACTATGGGGCTCACCTTTTATGTGAAGGGCTGCTGAAAAAGCCATCTGCTCAGACGGTATGAAAGCACACACACACACACACACACACACACACAATCAACTGAGCACTGAAGGATGTTTTCCTGTTGCTGGTCTAATAGAAATACAATCATACGGTAGTTACACTAATCTCTAAGGTTTCTGCAGAGGCTGTGAAAACTAAATATGCAGATCTGACCCTAACGATGGAATGTGCTTATTCAAAGTTCATGAGGGAAATAATTTAGGACTGAACTGGGAAAGCATGCAAAGAAGCAACCAAAACAAAAAAAGTAGAGAAGTTTATTAAATTATAGGTAGAAAGCTAGAGTGGAAAAGAGACAGGAATGAGTAAAGATCATAGAAGGTTCTAGAGGATTTGGATTGTGTGTCAGAAAAATAAGACACTTATTTTAGAAATTTTCTTCATTAGGATATATGCAAAGAAATTCATCCATAGGGATTCAGGTCTGAGAAGAGAACAGTTTTGAGCTGGTCCTGACAAGGAGACCTTGGTTGAATACCTGGCTGAGTTTAGGAAAATGATCTAATCTAGCTCTAGAATTTACCATTCTTTCCATCAATCTTTCTGGAGTCCTGCTCAGAAATTATTGATGTGGGATTCCTTTTGGTGCCTTGCTATATATAGGATAAGACTCCATTGCTAGAGTCTACTTCCTGGGTGAAGGACTCAACTACAACTGAGTTGCAAGACTTTAGCTTACAAACTCAGATAATGTAACCTGATCGTACGTACCCTCACATTAACCCAAAGGGAAAAAAAAAAAGGAAAACAGACAGATAATTGGAGGGGAATTATGGAATCAGGGAGAAATTATTATTAATTTTTAGTTGAAGAGCACTATGCCATATCTGGTGCTGACTGAGTAATTAAAGTTATCTAGAAGAACAAGCAAAAATGACTGAATTAAAACCCTTGAGCAGATGAGGGGACAGATGCTTCTCTGCCAGGGCAGGCACCACTATTCACTGTGACAAGAGCATGAGAGCACAGGGGAGGCTGACTGGGCGATTCAGGGAGGGAAGCTGTGAAAGTTCTCTTCTGATTGCTTCTGTTTTCTCAGGCAAAATAAAACCATACACACTCCAGCCTAAGAGAATCGGCAAGATTAATGGAGTGGAAGTTCCAACAGGAGTCAAAGTTTGTTTGAGATGGGGTATTATAGCCAGAGTATGAAAATACATGTACATTTAAAAAAATCAATAATAAACACTTACGTTCACGATAGAGGTTACATCTGTGGTGGGTAAAGGAATTTGACTGAAGAGGGGCATATCATGTTACCTGGGTTACACAGTTTTCTATTTCTGGGATTGGGTAGTGGATATTCAGTTGTTCATACAGTCACTTATATGTGTGCTGTACTGTAAAATAAAAGGCTTGAGCTGGTGACAGACTGAGTGTCACAGCTCTTCCTTGCATCTGAGAGGAACTGGAAATTGGGTAGACCTCCCATTGAATTGCATAAGCGCTCTTGTTCCTGGGCTGTCTTGTAATGTTGGGGAAGTAGGAAGTCAAGAACAAAGAAACAGACTTCCTTCTGTTCTAGAGCATGAGGGCTTGAACTCTTTTATTTAAAAGAAGGAACAAAAGAGCTAGAACTATTTTTTGAATCCTAAATATGTGGTTGTGAAACAGTTCGTAAAAGATATATGCAAAAGGTTTTTTGCAAAGTACAAAAATTTTAAAATACCAATAGAAAAACAGACAAAGGTCATAAACAATTCAAGGAAGAATGCAAATGGCCAATAAAGATCCTCAACCATTTAAGGAAAATAAAAAAGAATGGCATATTATTTTTCGTATTCCAGGTGGGTAGTTTTTTAAAATGTATAATGCCAGGCAGCAGCTGTGGTTCAGTGTAGGGCACTGGCACCATATACCAAGGGTGGTGGGTTTGAGCCCGGCCTCAGCCAAAGTGCAACAAAAAAATAGCCAGGCATTGTGGTGGGCGCCTGTAGTCCCAACTACTCAGGAGGCTGAGGCAAGAGAATCGCCTAAGCCCAGGAGTTGGAGGTTGCTGTGAGCTGTGATGCCGCTGCACTCTACCAAGGGTGATAAAGTGAGACTTTGTCTCTAAAAAGAAACAAAAAAATACCCTATTGTTGGTAAGGGTGTGAGGCAGGCTCAGACACTAGTTTATACTGTTCCCCAGAGTATAAATTAGGGCTATTAATTTGGAGGGTGAAAATTTAACTCTTTTTAACCATTTATTCATTATTTCAATTTTAAGGAATTTATTTCATAGAAGTGCACAATTGCACAATAAGTGTTTTGCAGCATTGTTTGAGTGAAAGTTGGAACAACTCAAAATCATCAAGAGAGATGATTCCTCACTAGAAGTCTCTCTGATCTCATGTCAGACACTTTCCCCATCTCAAAATCTCTAGTCCAACTGACCTGATTACAGTTCCGGAAATGCACCATCCTCTTAGTTTAGGATTCTTTGCCTACCTAGAAGTCACTCTCCTCCCATCCCACCTGCCAAAACTGGTCATTCTTGAAAATTCAAGTTTATGTCATTTTCTGGGAGAAGTCTTCCCTGACCTGATCCTCCCACCATTAGGATCTCCCTGCAGTTGTTATTGGGATCAATCATCACAATTATAGAATGATGCCAATAACACTGGCTAACCCTTTTACGGCATGTACTATTGCCAAGCATAGTTCTAAGATGCTTTGCTTGTTACTATTCATTTAGTCCTCATAACAACCTTATGAAGTAGTAACAATTATTACTCCTATTCTACAGATGAGAAAACTGAGGCACAGAGTAACTTTCCCAGTTCATTCAGCTGGGAAGTGTCAGATTAAAATTCAGGCACTCTGGTTCCAGCATCTGTGGCTCATGTTTTCTGTCTGAAGTCTGTAGGTGTCACAAGGGCAAATTCTATATCACACGTTCACTACTGTTCAGCGCTGTATCTCCAGCACCTGGTAAAGTGCCTGCTACATAGTAGAATCTCCAAAAGTGTGTTGAATGAATGAATGAATGAATGAGTAAAGCAACTGAATAAATCCACATGATGGACACTTTATGGTAATCAAAAAAAACAAGGCAGATCGATGTATACTAACATAAAATGATGTCCAAGGTACGTTATTAAGTGAAAAAAGCAAGTTACCAACAGAACATATGGTGTCGATTTTGTGGGAAAAAAGTAAGTATTAAGATACATAGAGAGAAACATAATTATATATAATTATGAGATAGGTATACAAAGCATTAACAATGTTCTCTCTTGAAGGATTTTCACTTCTATACTATATGTTCCTGAAACTTTTGACTTCATTATTAAAAGTGTGTATTCATTTTATAAGCAGAAAAAAATTTAAATAATTTTTAAAGACCAAAGCAAATAACAAAAGGAGGTAGTTTTGCAAAATCCAAGAGCTCGCAGTACCTTATTAGGTTAGTTATTCTCCACCCTTGCTGGCTTCCCTCTGGGCTTGCACCCTCTGTAGAGAGGCCTGGGCTTGGCTTTGCATGCAGACCTTACCTCAGCTGCCATAGGCATGATACAAAGCAATGAGGTTTGCAATTTCTTATCTGGGCTGACCCTGGTGGCTAAATATCAACAGGGAATGGCAGTAAATAGAGAAATGACTTACTGTCTTTGCTAATTTGCATTTCCAAGTGAAGAAAGTCTTCAAATTCCTGGCGCTTATTAGGATCCGACATAAATCTGCGGTACTTGCAAAAGCTTCTGATAAAGTTGATCATTTTCATCCAGCCTCTCTTCTGGGGAAAGAAAGAGGAATAGGATACATTCATTAATCGAGCTGCTGTTCACTGAGAGGGTATTGTGTGTTAAAACTTGGCATTCCTTACATTTAATCCTCCCAACACCTCTATGAAGGTATAATTTTTACTTCCAATTGGAAGGTGAGAAAACCCAGGTCAGAGATCTTGTAAACCTGCCCCAGATTACGTAGCTGGTGAGTGGAAGATTCCCACCCACCCGCTACCCACAGTCCCTCTGCCACAGGCTTTCACCAGGGAAGATTTGAGGTGCCATGGGAGCGAAAGTGGGAACGATGAAAACGGGAAGAAACAGAGGACAGAGGTAAGTAATGCTCAAGAGAAAGGAAAAATGGCTCAGGCAGATTTTGAAATGTTGAAGAAATAAGGAAATGAGCAAAACCATTTCTGATGTATAATTACATTCACACAAATGCATTTTATCTTTCTTCATCTGTTTTGTGATAGGCACCCCGTGACCATTCTCCAGTTTATTTGCCTCTTAGGAAATTGATACGTGGAGTCAGAAAGAGTCTTGTTGATCAACCTCTCTTGCAGAGAGGGAACCTCACTGTAAGCATAGCTTTAAGACAGCCAGCCATGAAGTATAAAAAGTGCTGATTGGGTCAGAAACTTTGAGTCTGGCACCTAGCTTCTCTCTGTAATTTGGGTCAATTTACCTAACCTGTGTCTTGGTGGTTCTATGTGTAAGACAGAAGCCATAGCCTTTGGGGTTGTGGTGAGGCTTTGTGATCATACAGTATGATCCTATAAACCCCGAAGAAGTGCTTTACATAAAGTGAGTGTTAAGTATGGGATGGTTTTCTTTTATCTTATCTAAGAGCAACCAAAAGTCCTGAAATTAAAACAAAGTGTCCTATTACTGGGTGCCCTGACATGGAATTGTTTCATATGTGAATGAAATACAGAGGAGAAAGGAGAGAAAACACATTTTCATCCCTGGAGTATTAGATCATATGGGTTTAGACATTATTTTAAGAGATATCTTAGTGCCATTTTTGGAGTCAGATAGAGCTGGGCTCAAATTTTTCTAATACTAACCAACTCTAAAACACATAGAGCAAGTGATTAAGGGGACATGTCTTTTTTTTTTTTTTCAATCCATACGAAGAGTTTCCTGAGTAACATTCCTGACTCCTCTTTTTTCCCCTTTTCTCTCCTCCCATGGGAGAAAGAATGAGCTAGATCAATGTTTTCAACCTTTTTAATCTCACAGCACACTTGAACCTCCAGTTCAACCTCTGTGGCACACTTAAATTATGTTAATAAAAAAAGAGTAAAAAAATATATACTTACTGTGCTTCAAACTTCTTTTGAAAATAATTTAATTAATGATCTTTAAAAATGTTCATGGCACACTGGGTAAAAATCTAGAAGCTAGATAAAGTTGAAAGAAGGAAAAGGACACGCTCTGTTCTCAGTCCTTTGTATTCTGTCTTTGGGATTTGCTTGCCTGCAGGACACTTGTTTCAGGTCTGTTCTTTTTCATACAGTGAGAGACTCACTCACCCTATTAAGCGAAGGCCTAAGTTGTTCTATATACCAGTGACTATGTGTGTAAGTCAGTCTAATTTGGGTACAGAGAGGATCAGCTAACCACATTGCTTCACTGCCAATCCTTGTCTTCCTGATTAGTTTTCAGCAGTAAAACAACAACAACAACAAAAAACCCAGACACTTCGATCTCCATGTATCTAACCCCAATACCTACTACTCTACCAGTTCTAATCACAGGCAGGGAAGAGGATTTCTTCAAATTCCCAGGGTAACAATTTCTCTGAGCTTCAGATTCTTCCTTTGTAAGATGAGGGTTTAAAAACCTACTCCCCAAACAGTAGTGGTTTTTGTGGTTAAATAGGCTTACAGTGAAAATATTTTGCATGGTAGACCGGGCCTAGACAGTGGATTTTCTCTTCTCTAATACCTTATTTTCACTTTCTTCTTCACTGACCTGGCTGACCTGGGATTCCTGCAGGTGAGTTGTTGCTGTTCTTGAGGGCTTCCTAGGCGAAGGTTGAATTTGTGTTTCTGTCTCCACAGGACGAGCTGGAAACAGTTCTTGGTAATCTTTAAACCTGCCAGAAAGAGACCAGTATCAAAGAAGGCAAAACTTGACATATAAAGGATAACTGTCTAAGTTGCCTCAGCTTTTGGAGCAAGTTTCAGTGAAAAGTGGGGAAAGATAAAGTAAAAAAAATACTCTTCTTGCTTTATCAATCCTTTTTCAACATCAGCCTATGGTTCCTGATCAATACGGTAATTCCTCTCGTTAAGGGAAATGAACAAAAATATGTGTACGCATGTTCCTAGCTAGCTAGGTTCAGGATAAATTTGTAGAGAGGCTCTGGCAATGAGCTAGGAAAGTAGATCGTGACTGACACGGCTTTCAGAAGGCAATGAGCAACTCCAGAAAGAATCCTTGCCTTTACTGAGCACACTCACCACTTTTCTTCCACTGATTTCATGATAAAGCTCTGCAGCATTAACAACATGGTTGTGCTGACATGACGCATGTTTGCGACTTCTCTGATAAGCGGGGCATCACACTGCAGTATTTCCTCTAAAAAAGCAAGAGAGAGAAAGAGAGAAAACAAACATCATCCTCATCTACCATTTTTGAGGTAGCTGGTATTTTTTTCATCCTGGTCTCACAGCCCCCTATGAGCCCTGCACAATTTGTTTCAACATCCCCAACGCATATTTGGAATGCTATGCACAAGCGTATTTGTAGATAAAATATTTTCGTGGTTTATTTCCATTCAAATTTCAAAAATGAGTGCTTTAGAGGAAAGAAATGTTTAAATAAAACCTAGGTAACCAATGACCAATTAAAAAAAAAAAAAAAGAAAGAAATGTTTAAATGACTCATTCCTAAAGCTGGTTGGAAATTGTCAATTTAGGGAGAGGGTGAAAGGATAAAGGATTAAAGTTACGTTGTTGGAGCAGATGAAGAATCCAAGATTACAAACATGTATTAAATGGGCAATATGGTTCTCCAGGGAGTTCAGGGACTGTTGTGTTCATTAATGAGACTTGAAAACTAATCAAAGTTAGGATCTGGGTACTCCTCTTTCTCTTCTAGCTCATTCAAAATGATGTACAGAATTTGACATTCTAAGATTCAAAAAACAAATACTTCTCCAAATAAACATTTGCTAATTTAACCTCTTCCTATTTTCATAATATTTATAGCCTTTTCCTGGTTTACTGCAAGTAAAAAACAAATTCACAGAAACGCTATCCTCTTTATCTGTGACCAAACAGGAAGCTCTATGGTTACTGTCTTACTCTAGGCTTGTTTACCTCTCTAGAATGGGATCATGCTCACTCCCTTTTGTTTTCCTCTAGAATTAAAAGTTAGTACTTAACTTGCAGCTTCTGCTTTTGGCCAAGATGAATTTGCATGGGCCATATTTACCCTCCTACCTTAGGCAAGAAAATAAAACCCAAGAAACAAAGATTTTCATGCCTACAGTTTTCCTTCCCCATGTAACTCTTTTCACAATCTACAGGAGGTGGTCAATCCACCTTTGCATATAGCCAACCCTTGCTTTTGTATCTTACTCCAGATGTAGTTGATTTGATAGTCAAAGGGCTTGAGTGAGATTCAAGTCCACCAGCTGAACAAGCTTGTTAACTTTTCTGTGTTTCTCTTTCTTTGTTGGTAAAATGGAGCTATTTTTGTATCTGTTACAGATATTAAACAAAATTCTATTGTGATATTTCGATAAAATGAACTGAGAAGATATATGTGAAAGTAGCTTTCACTTGGCTTCTTTTACTAGTATTAAGATTTTAGATATATTATTGTCGTTCTCTGCTTTCCCTGTCTCTCTTAATCTTTGTCCCAGTACTGCCCCATGTCACCACAGCCCCATGTCACCACTGTTCTGTTCTGCTTTCTCTGGGAGCTCACACAAGCGAAGCGATTTCCCTATTCTCCTATGACCCTTCAGGGAGAAGGAAACAGGATCAGGAGAAAGGATGCATACCAGGAGAGACATCGCTTTGGAAAAAAGTCTTGAGTAAATTTTCCAGAAGAGACTTATAAGCTTTTTCATTGGTTTCTATGACAATCCTCTGTACAGCTACCAGGAAGTCCAATGGGCTTTCAGCCTTCCGTTCTTTGAGGAACTCCCGGAAGTACTCCACGTGCTGTGAATTTAGGAGGACTTCTGTCATGTTTCTGGAAAACAAGAAAATATCGTTGGTAGAGAGACAGGGATAATGACTCTGGATCCTGTTCCAAATTGGGAATGGGGAAGGACATCTCCCAGGCTGTCAGGCCTTAGCAGTTTGTGAGATAAATTAGTTAAATCTATTTCTTTGGAGATGAACTTGAACTTTAAGGTGTCCCTCCTGAGCTCAGTCAAATCATTTGAGAAACCTAATGGAAGAGGAGGGGAAGTATTAAAGGTGACAATGTTTTTCAAAGGAATTCTTTTTTATATTATGGATTCAAAACAATTTCTAATTCGCAGTCATTTCTTTGAGACAGAGCGTGACAGGTCTACAGTTATTGATATTTACAAATTTCCTGCACTCATTTTTTCTTTCACTGCTCCTTGACTATAAGTCCTCCTAATGTTTCATCCCCAATCCTGTCCTTTTGCCTCATAATTTTTTTTTTTTTTTTTTTTTTTGGTGTGGGGTAATCTGTCCCTTCTCTGTGTTTTCAATTTTCATTGATATAAGGAAGTGGTTTCAAATTTTATTGCTATGGTAAAACTATATTTCCAGTTCCTATGAACTTCACTTCTAAATTTCAACTGACCATTGAATATCATCTTTATGTCATAGTTATTATTTAAACCTCTCTGTACGTGCCCAGACCAACCTGTTCTTCCTTTATATACCTATTTCATTAAGTATGTTCGCTACAGATTTTTAATAGATCCCATTTATCAGGATGAGATAGTTGCCTTCTATTCTAATTTTATTGAACGTTTTTATCATAAATGTGTTCTGGATACTGTGAAAGGCTTCTTCTGTATCAACTGACATAATGATGTGGGTTTCCTCCCACTATTTTATTAATGTGCTATATTGTATTAATTGACTTTTAGATGCTAAACCAACCTTGCTTTCTTGCAATAAGTCCTACTTGGTCATTCTATAATCTTTTCTATATGTTGCTGGATTTGCTTTGCTACTCTTTTGTTGCAGGTTTTTACATCTAAAAACAAAGAGAGTATCAATCTGAGGGTTTCTTTTCTTACAATGTATTTCGCTTGCTTTGGGATAAGGAAAATATAGGCCTAGAACAATTTGGCAAGTGTTCCTTCTTCCTCTTTTCTTCAAAGAATTCATAAAATATTGATATTATATATTCTTTAAATGTTCCATAGATGTCTCCAATGAAGCCAGTTATGTCTGGGCTTTTCTTTGTGAGAAAAATTTAAATAATCAGTTTAATTTCTTTCTTATTACAGGTTTATTCACATTTTGTACTTCTTCCATGGGTTTCTGTAATTTGGGTTTTTCTAGAAGTTTATCTATTGCATCTAAGTTGCCTAATTTGTTTTTTGCATCTCCTTGCAATCTTATTAATTTCTGTATTCAGTAGTTCTGTCTCCTCTTTCAATGCTAGTTTTGGTTGTCTGTGTCATTCCACTTTTTTCCCTTGGTCAGCATAGCATAGTGTTCATCAATTTCATTGATCTTTACAAAGAAACCCAACTAGTGTGCATGGATTTTCTCTATTTTTCTCTTTATTGTATTCATTTACACTCTAATAGTTATTATTTGCTTCCTTTGACTTTAATTTAAATGTGTCATCCCACCATTTTGGTCTCTGTGGTTACTGATGTGAAATAAACTTTCATCTTATAGTTCCCTTGAATGTAAAATCCTTTTTCTTCTGCAGCTCTCAAGATTTTTCTCTTTGCCTTTGTTTTTCAATAGTTAGCTATGATATGTCCAGGTGTGGATCTCTGTTAATTTCTTCTACTTGGCATTCATAAATTTTCTTGTATTTTTCGAATAAGGGCTTTAATCAAATTTGGGAAGTATTCAACCACTATACATTCAAATGTTTTTTTTTCTGCTCTTCTCTTTTTCTTTCCTTCTGAAAGTCCCGCTATTTATGTACTGGTGTGCTTGATGGTGTCCCTCAGATCTCTGAGATTCTGTTTATGTTTCTTAATTGTCTTTTTCTTCAAACTGGACCACTCTTCTGAACTCTAATCTTCAAGTTCATTAATTTTTCTGTGAATTCAAATCTGCTGTTGATTCTCTCTAGTGACTTTCTCATTTCAGTTATTATACTTTCCAACTTCAGATTTTTATTTGGTTTTATTTTATAATTTCTATTTCATTAGTGATATTCTCTATTTGATTATTTTAAACATGGTTTTCTTTAGTTTGTGGAACAGCTTGGTTGGGAGTCTTTAGCGAGTCCAATATCTGAATTATATCACAAAGAGTTTCTATAGTGTCTACCTTTTTTATCCTTGTGTATGAGCCATACTTTCCTGGGATATTTTGTTTGTTCATTTGTTTATTTGCTGCTTGCTTATTTTTTTGTATGTATCATAAATCTTTTGTTTAAAGATGACATTTTGGATAGTATAGCAACTCTGGAGTATGATCTCGCACACCGCCTGTCACCCACCAAAGGTTATTGCTGTTTATGGTTTTCCTCTCCTCTCTCCTCTCCCCTTGCCTTTTCATTTTCCTTTCTCTTTCTTTCTTTCTTTCTTTTTGTTGTTGTTGTTGTTATTAAGTGGCTTACCTGGCTGATTCTGTAGAGTTAGTCTATCCTGCAGTGTGTGGGCACTAAAGTGCTCAGTTTTTTCTTTTTAACATTCTTATTTTTATTTTTAATTTATTTTATAAAAAATAAAAAAAATTATTGTTTACTTTAGAGTCTCACAGTTAGCCAATGATACATAGATAACTGGGCCCTGCTTTGGTCTGTCTTGAGCATTTGCATAGCCTTATCAAATTACCCTGGGGATATCTTATTCTTCAGATCTCTCTTCTATACTTTTGGCTATTTACTGCTTGCCCAACCAGCATCACTACCTTAAGCAACTGTGATGGTTGCTCTCCTGACTGCCACAAAGACTCTTATTGTTTTTGACAATGTTCCTGGTCATGAACTTTTCTATAGTGTTCCAAATTATGTCAACCCCTTCTGTTGGCAGCAAAATGGCTGGTACTTATGGCTAACATGCTTTGGGTGATGTGAGCAATTTCAAGCTAAAAAGCCACAGATCCCACTGTTCTTCTCCCCCACTGGGTAGTTTTCTTGAATAAGCATGTTTTAATTGTTATGTTCCTCCAATTAATTTATAGTGTTCTGAAATTCTTTTGGACAGATTTTCCTGGTTTTATCATTGTTTTTAGGAAGAGACTACTTGCAAGATTCTTCTGAAATTCTTTTGGACAGATTTGTCCGGTTTTATCATTGTTTTTAGGAGGAGACTACTTGCAAGATTCTTATTCTTACCATTCCAGAAAAATTAGTCTTTCTGCAGTGTTTTTTACATCTGTATATTCCTTTCCACTTTCCCTTCCACTATTTACTTCAGGCCTTTACCATCATTTTCCTGAACAATTGCAGCAATTTCTCAACTATTATTTCTGCCTTCATTCTTTGAGCCTCTGACTATGTATACTATTATTGCTATTTCTGCTGGTGTAATATTTTTAAAATTCACATAAGAGGTATCTGCTATGCATTGCTTCAACAAACCATAAAGAATCCTTAATGCCACTTAATCAATACAAATTCCTTAATTATTCTATTTATTTATTTATTTATTTTGCAGCTTTTGACAGGGGCTGGCACCCTACTCCTTTGAGCCACAGGTGCCACCCAATAATTTTATTTTTTTAATTGACAAATAGGTCATGGAGTACATAGTTATGTTTTAATACATATAATGCATGGTGATCAGGTCATGGTAATTAGTATATTTGTTTATCATTTCCTTGAGTTGGGAACATTCAACATTCTCCTTCTAGCTATCTGAAACTATATAATGCATTATTGTTAACTATAGTCACCCTGCAGTGGTATAGAACACTACTTATTCCTCTTATCTAGCTGTAATTTTATATTTCTTAACAAATGTCTCCATATCCCTCCCTTCCCTCTACTCTTCCCAGCCTCTAGGATCCTCTGTTCTATTTTTTACTTCTATAAGATAATTTTTTTAGGTTTCATGTGTGAGTGAGAACGTGGTGTTTAACTTTCTGTTCCTAGATTATTTCATTTAACATAATGTCCTCCAGTCCCTCCCATGTTGCCACAAGTGACAGGATTTCACTCTTCTCTTGGCTTCATAGTATTCCATTGTGTATATGTACTACACATTTTCTTTATCTATTCATCTATTGTTGAACTTAGGTTGATTCCATTATCTTTCTGATTGTGAATAGTGCTGCAATAAACATGGTAATACAGATGTTCTCTGATTTAATGATTTTCTTTACTTTGGTAAAATTCGCAGTAGTGGGATTGCTGGATCATATGGTTGGTCTATTTGTTTTTTGTGGGGGCCTTCATAATCTTCTCCATAGTGGCTGTCCTAGTGAGCATTCCCATTAACAGTATATATAAGTTCCCTTTTATCTACATCCTCATCAGCATTTGTTATTTTTTGTCTTTTTCATAACAGCCATCCTAATCAGAGTAAGATAACAATTACCATCATTTTGATTTGTATTTCCTTAATGATTAGTGATGTAAAGCATTTTTTCATTATTTGTTGGCCATTAATATGTCTTCTTTTGCTAAGTATTTGTTCAGATCATTAGCCCATTTTTAAAATATTGGATTGTTTGGTTTTTTGCTATTGAGATGTTTCAGTTCCTTATACATGTGAACATGTATTCTGAATATTAATCACATGTCAGATAAGGAGTGTGCAAATATTTCCCCCCACTCTATAAGGTGTCTTTTTACTCTGATTGTTTCCTTTGCTGTGCAGAAGCTCTTTAGTTTTAGTAATCCAATTTGTTTTTACTTTTGTTACCTGTGCTCTTGAGGTCTTATTCACAAAATCTTTTCTCAGATCAGTATCTTGAAG